TGTGGTTCTGTGCGTCGCTCCTGTGTGACCGTCACCGCCCGTCTAGCGTCCACCCATACCGCGTTGGTGTCCCAGTCGTTGGTCGGACTGTGTTTCGCCTTCCCATGCCGCTGAACAGCACCTTGCCCTCCGATCTTGACGGAGGTGGGAATCTCGAACGACTCGCGCAGGTACGGCTCGAGGCGGCCCCAATCCTCGGCCGTGACGATGGAGTTCACTCGCAGCTCCGGGGGGCAGCTTACTGCCGCGGCCATCGCGCCCGACAGGGGCCGAGCGCGGCTCGCAGAAGCTCTCTTTATTCCCCAGTTCAAGCAAAGAAGGTAAGGGAGAGAGCGACGCGGCGAGCGCAGGCGGCGAGCGTGCACGTCGCCTGTGCGGCGTCTTGTTCACTCCCCTTTGAGCTACCTTTGTGCCCCCTATTGGGCACCCCTCCTGCGCTGCGCGTATGGTCACCCCTCCCTTCCGCCCTGTTGTTTTGGGTGCCCCGCTCCGAGAAAGCATGTCTCGCAGCTGCGAGAAAAGACCTCAACGAGTCAGCCTGCCAGTTCATGGGCCGCTTGCGGTGGGTCGGTGGCAAACGAGAACGAACGTTCGCCGCGCCGCCGGGCGGGGGGGGGCCGGGGGCCGCGAATCAAAAGTTAGTGGGGGAAATGGCTCAGGCTGCGAAGAAAAATTTTTCCGGGCCGCTCTTCTGGGCAGGTGTGCACCAAAAGTGTTCGGTAGACCAGCCTCTCGGTACACGCCACGGCCCCGGGCTAGGCCCGATGCGTCCGCTACCACGCTCTTAACATGCGCACCGTCCTGCTGCAGGTCGCCATCAAGGAGCCGTCCTCGTCGCGTACGTCGTGCTGCCGTCGCGTGTACCGAGATGCCTCGCAACAAAGGCCTCGGCCGAACGGGCAAGAAGCATAAGAAATCAGCCAACGACAACATCCACAGGCAGCCCAAGGCGACCACCGAGCCCACGGTCGCCACCGAGGCGCCGGAGCCGCCCGCCGCGCCCGACACCTCGCCGGAAATGGAGGTCGAGCCGGCAGCGCCCGACGCGCAGGCGCTCGCGACAGGTGCGGCTGATCGGCGACGTCGAGCGTGGTGCCCGACGGCTCAGGATCCTTCTACCATAAACCACTACCACGGCTGCCACCGTCGGCGCCTTCGCTCGAGCTCTCCGAGGCCGCGTTCTGACCTCGTGCCGCGGCTGTTGTCGCTACAGCAGCGACGAGGGCCGCGGCAAGGGGTGCAGCGGCGACGGGCGGGGGGGAGAGGCGCGGCCAGCTACCGGGTCGTTGCCCCCGCCCACCGCGCCGGGCCCCTGCACCCGGAGGCGGCTTGCGGCAGCCTTCCCGTGTCTCCGTGCGACCCGCTTGGGTAGCCGGCCATGTGTGGCCCGCTGCCGGAAAAAATCCGGGGTTTAGCTGGCGTATCTCGGGCCCACTTTAGAGCTAGGGCATGATCTTAGGTGTTCTGGATAGCCCACAAGGGTCTTCTTTGGCATGGTAGCGGTGGTTTTGCGCGAGGCGTTCATTCAAAAATCACCATTTCCCCCACTACAAAAGTTGGTGCCGGCTTTTGAGTTTTGTGTTAGGGTGCCCACAGGGCCCAAAAAAAGAAAAGAAAAAAGAAATGGGCCACCCCAGATCGCAGCACTTCGTGTTGGCCAGTCGAGATATTGAGAGTGTGACTAGGAGGGAGGGACGCTGGGGATTCTCAAAGGTATACCCTTGGAATGGCCGGATCCAGCCTTAAAAGTACGAGATCGCGCGCGCTTCGCGCGCTGCACCGCCTGTTCTCCGCGGCTGAGTGACGACGCGTGCCGTGTGCCACCAGAGTTGGGCGCGCGCGGCGCGACGGCGCCCGCGAGGGAAGGCGCGGGTGCAGCGGCCGCCGGCGGCCGTACCGCCCGCCAGCCGGCGCAGCAGCGGCCAGCGCAGCGGCCGCCGGCGCAGCAGCCAGAGCAGCCGGTGCGCGCCTTGCGAGGCGAGTACTGCCGTCCGGCAGCCTTGAGGCGGCCGGGCGGCAGTACTCGTTCGAACTTTGCGAGCCGTGCGCGCGCCGAGGCGCCCGCGGCGCGCGCCCGCCCGGCTGCCAGTAGGAGGCGGCGCAATATGGCCTATAGTACAGCCCTTAGGAGGAGGAAGAGGCTGGCTGGCAGTGCTGTATGCCGCCGAGGGGCAGTTTTGGGGTGCTGTCACGGGCCCAGCGGGCTGCAGAACGCGTCCGCAGCCGGGACAACCCGCCCCCCCAGCCGAGGCCGGTCGAATCCCACTTGGTCACAGCCATGAGGAGTCCTCTTGGTGCTCCTGGCGGCCGTTGGAATGGCGAGCGCGCGCCGATGGGGGGGGGGGGGGTCTTGCTTGCTCCACACCGAGCGCCATCGGTCCGGACCGGCGTGACCACCGAGGGGTGGCCTGCACAAGGTCTGAGCCGCGGGCGCTCGGCGCCAAGTGCAGTGTCACGCTCGCGCTCGCGCGTGACAAACCGGGGAACCCTCGTTTCCTATGTACTCGGTCCCCCAACGGAAGAGGCCTCTCTCCTATTGGAACTGGCCAACATCAGATTTGCCTCGTGCGTCCCTTTTTGAGCCGGAAAGCTATTTTCTTTTGGGTCCTGTGGGCACCCTATTTGTGTTCCGTTTCGTGTTGAATTCGTCGGGGTACCCCGCGGTTCGCGCTGGGGCTGACTATCGTGATCCGGCCGTACCCAATCGCGCGAATCACACACGCACCATCCACTCATAATGAGTTCACCAGGGCGACCATCGACGCCGCCGCGCGCTTCTTCGCGAGCGCCTTGCGCTTTGCGGCGCCGCTGGGCTGCTTTCGCTTCGGAGGTGGCTCACCTGCCCCATCACCCTCTTCGCCCGCGCCCGCACTAACCGACTCGCGACTCGCTGTCTTCCGCCTTCTTTTGGCAGACCCGCTGCTGGCGCCGGCCGGGGTGCCGGCGGGGCCAACGCCAAGGAGGCCCTCGAGAAAGTCCGAAGGAGGAGCGGTGGGCGCGGCTGGCAAGGACGGCGCGGCGGCCGTCGAGAGCGGTCTCGAGCCGCCAGCGCTGCACGCGGCAGCTGGTTTGCCCTGCATCGCCGCCTCGGACACGCCCAGCGCACGCAGCTTGAGCTGAATGCGGTCCGCCTCGGCAAAGTCGCGCTGCTCGCGCGCCGCCTGCCGGTCGCGGATGAGCTGCTCGACTTTAGTCCCGGCGTGTGGAGCCTCCGGTGGCGTTGGAGGCGGCGGGGCAGCAGCAGGAGCAGCATCAGCAGGAGGAGGAGGAGGCGGAGGAGGAGGCGGAGGAGGAGGATCGCTGCGGGGCTCGCAGGCGCACGCCTCTGGCCCAAGGCGCCGCGCAAACGCCAGTGCTGCCTCATGAGCGCTAGTGAAGCGCCCAATGTGCTCCACATAGCCGCCGCGGTCGGCGTGCACGAGCCGCGCCTTGAAGGGCTTCGCCAACAGACTATTCTTTTCCGGCCGGTACGATATGCCGCGATAGCCGGTCTGGCCATCGCCAGGCACGAGGTGCAGGCCCTCCCGCAACGCCGCGGCCGCAGCCTCTGCTCGCGTCATCGGGCGAGGGTGGCCAAAGAGGAGTGGAGCCTCGAGCGGCACCGCCCGGGTGGCCGTGAGCGTCTGCGTTGCACTTTCCATGGCTTCTCGAGCAGGGTTCGGACTTTTTGTGGGTATGGTATGGTACACACCCCAGCCTGCTGACAGACCCAGCCTCCCGGAGACCGGGGATGGCATGCCGCGCTGGTGTCCAGTCCGGGTGCAACTCGAGAAGTCGAGATCCTCCCTCGACCCTGAGAGTTCACGGAGTCATATAAACTCACAACTACTGCGCGCCGGTGTGTCCAATCTGAGCCTGGGCCCTGGCTGTTCTCTGGTAGCTGGTAGGACGGGAACGAAATGATAGTAGGGAGTAGAGAAGATAGAAAGCAAAGAGGAGCGGCGCAGCGGCCCTGCCGGCACGCACGATCGACTGACGACTCCGCAGGAGAAGCCCCTCCCCCAGACAAAACACAAGGGAGAGGTGGGTGGGTCACAGAAAACTGCGGCCGCCAACGACTGAGATCTGAGTCAGTCTCGCTGGCGGACGGCGGGGAGAACACTCTAACGAAGGTAGCTAGGGCCGTCCGAAACACACCAAGATGTGAAGATCACTAGTAGTGCGTGACACTAGGGACGTGTATACATACTAGCAACTAGGGGACGTCGCCCATCACTCGGGGATGAGATCGGGAGATACGTCAGATCTGCCGAATATCGCCCGAATCTACAGCGGCCCACAGGAGCGCCGCCTCAACGCGGGGTCTCGGCTCTGTCGAGCGACGAGCCATGCTCTAGCTCCATAGCGGCGCAGGGGGGCGCAGCCCCACCCGGGCCGGCGGCACCCGAGGGTGTTCCCGCAGCGCGCAGCGTAGGGTTGTCAAACGTTAAGAGCTGAACAGTGTTGCTAGTGTTTACAGTAACAACAGAACCACACAACAGTGGGGCTCCCCAACAACAGTAGCTAACGTTAGGCCGACTGAACAACAGTAAGGAAGGCCTGGCAGTGACCCACGATGATCTCTAGTGTCCAGTGCGGGTAATACCCGAAAATACCCGGAAAATCCCAGGTATTTACTATTTTCGGGTTTTTACCCGGGTTTTTTGCCATTTTCTGCTTGCTGGCCGCTGAACAACAGTAACAACAGTAACAAACAGTAACAGCATGGGCTGGGGATGAACACTTGAACAACGTTGAGGATTTCAGCCAACAATAGCGCAACTGCTGTTAGGCCCCACAAATTAACGTTTGACAACCCTCTATAGCGCTGTTGCGGGTTCAGTCAGCCCTAGTCTACGGCCTCTGCGTGTTTAAAGCTCGTGTGAACAATGCGCGTGTTTTCGTTTGGCCCGTTGTTTTGTTTTTGCGTGACAGGCAGTGCCGCATGCGCTTTGTTAACAGCACCCGTGCGGGGGTACACGACGCTTGTGAACAGCGCGCATCAGCACGGGAAGGGTGTACGATCACTGACGGCCGTCAGAAAACACTGTCAGAAAACACAACGCGCGTCACACCAATCCTCGCTACCCAACGCGGCCAAAGGATATCCACCTCGAGAACCTCGAGAACACTTGGTGTAGCATCCATGATCCGGCTGCAGAGCGTCGGCGGAGCCGCTCCCCCACGCCCCCCGCTGAAATCGGCGAGCGAGCCTCTGCTTCCGAGGAGTGAGGCTCCGGCCAGCGCCGGCAACGTCAGGTTTACAGATGCCAGCGCGGATGCATACAACGCTTACGCCATCGTGTCGGCTGTCGTGTTTGGCTCGGCAGTTAGCTCCTTCGTCAACCTCGCGAGCATCACCAACGACGCGGAGCAGCACCGCCTGCGTCAGACCTCAAGCTGGCCCGCACTGACTCCGTATGCGCCACCTCCGCCACTTGCGTATAATGCACCGCCGACACAGGAGCTCTCTCCAGCGGTCCTCGTGTTTGCCCTCCTCATCGCGGTGCGCTGTGCTGTGCCCTCCGCATCCGGCCGACGCACTCCAGCTAGCTGCAACTCAGGTACCGCGCGCACAGGTCGTGACTGCGCTCAGTGGCTACTCCACCGCCATCATGACGATGCAGTACTACGCCGCAAAAATCCTCCGCGAGCGGGCGCACCCCGACCGGCTGCGCGTCTTCCTTCAGTCCACCTGGCACTTCCGCCGCGCGGCTCGCCACGCGACGTGGGCTGCGCTCTGCTTGTACCTGCCAGCCATTGGTGCGCGAGAGCGGGACGATGCCCCGCGCCGCAGTGAGACCCTCACAGCGCAGATGCGCAGTCACACACGGCCGGACTGCTGGGATGGGTAGGCGTCCTTGCGTTCGAGATCCTGCCGCTCCCCTTCGCGCTTGCCGCCTTCGCCTGCTTCCTCGTCGGCGCGCTCCTCCTCGCCGCCGTCGGCGGCGCCATCAACCGCTCCCTCGAGGAGCAGCTGAGCTGCTCCGCCAACGTGCCTCTCTCGCGAGCGACGACGCCCCAGCGGGGGGACCGCCACCCGCGGCCCCCCTGGCGCGACTCCACCGCCGGGACGAGCAGCGGCCGTGCTGGCAGCGTGGCTTTGGGAGCGTGGCACAGGGCCGACGCCGCGGCCATGTCCGACAGCGCTCTCCTGCAGGCGCTGGACGAGGCGAGGGCGATCCTGCAGCACCACGCCACCGACGGGGGACGTCTGGCGCCGGGCGGCGCGGCGCCGTCGCTCAGCCGCCGTTCGTCGACTCTCTCAGCGGATTCGCAGGACCACGGTGACGTGGACTAAGACGGCCGTCGGCCGAGACTGACGACATGAGTTTGGAGGTGTTTCTGTGCGAGCCGGGTCACATTTTTGATCATTTATGACTAGCTGAATTCAGAATTGTAACAAAAAACGGTTAGTAAAACGCAGTCTGGGACTGGCCCCAGTGACACCTGACACGTGACACGCGGGATTCGGATTGTGACACGTTTTACAGCCTCCCAGCTTCTCTTCCGCCAGCCGCCTCCGCCGCCCACCCGCCACGCCGAGACCTGCCCGTGCGCCGCCTCCCCCCCGCTCCTCATAGCTCCGTCTTTTGCTCCTCGCACTCGTGCAGCTCCAGCCCGCCTCCGTCGCTCGCGTGCATGAGGACGGCCGACACCACCTCGACCCGCTCCTTCGGCTTGACGAAGATGCCTGCGGCGGCGCGGCGCGTCAGGGAGGGGGTTTCAGGAAAGAGCTCTGGGGCATCCCGGGGCATCCTCGTCTCGCGGCGCCTTCCCGACGCGTCTCGAGCTGCTCGAGCTGCGACAAGACGTGGTCGCCCGCCACGACGCGCCCAAAGATGGTGTACTTGCCGTCCAGGGAGGGCGCGTCGCCGAGCATCATCGAGAAGGACGACGTGCCCGTGTGCGGCTCCTCAAACTTGCCCATGCTGAGCACCCAGCTTGGAGTACAGCTCGCCTGCCAAAGAGAGAGGCGGAAGGCAGTCGGCGTCACCGCCCCGCATGACACGGCCTTGCGCGTCGCGGGGCGGTGAGCCGGCGCGCGCCGTCAAAGTAGTGGCGCGACGCCTCGAGCGAGTTGGTCGGCAGGCAGATGCACTTGCTGAAGCGCGGTGGGGGCCACTTTTGCCCGCACTGGAGCACCACGCCGCGGCATCGGAAGACTCCCCAGCAACCGCCATCGATCCAGACGAGCGGTGTGCCGTCGAGCTCCACGCCGCCGTACGTGGAGCCGCGCACGCAGCGCCGGGCGGCGCCGGCGTCGGTGGGGCGCAGCCCGCCAAGGTACTCGACTGCACTGTGCGGCGGCAGCCTCGCCCGAGCGCTCTCGCTCGCCCTGAAGGCGGCACTCGTCCTGAAGGGCTTGAACGCGAGAGCGACCGCGCTCTCGAGACGCATCAGGCGCAGCTCCGCTTCGCTCTCGAGGTAGCTGCCGAGGGGGCACGCCAAGAGCCAGGGAAGGGCGAGGGGCGAGAGTGAGGAGTGCGGCGACGCGATCATGCGGCGGGACACGGCCGCTCACTCCGGCATTGGCAGCTTCGCCAGGTAGGGCTGCTTGACGTCGCAGTCGCGCATCGACTCGCGCTGATGGCCCATCTGCTCCGTGGCGCATCGCCCAGTCAGCGAAGCGAGAGGGGAGGGGCGGGGCGGTGAGACTGTGCGACGCTGCGTGTGGGTGTGGCTGTGCTTGGCGGTCGCGCGGCCAGCACCTCCTTGTAATGCATGATGTAGCCAAAGTAGTAGGTTGGCCGGTAGACTGGGAGCGGCCAGTTGAAGCGGCGGTGGCAGTAGCCCGCGTCCCACGCCCAGATGTCGCGCACGTCGTGCTCCTTGGCCGGCATCGGGAACGTCTTGACGCGGTGCCGCTTGAGCAGCAGCGAGAGGATCGACTGGTCGTGGCGGTGCGCGACGAAGCCGGCGTGCTGCCGCTTCGGGTCGTGCGCGTCGGTGGCGAGCTCGCCCGCCGTCGTCCACTTGAGCCACTCGGCGACGAAGCGCTCCGCGAAGCGCGTCTTGCGCAGGATGACGATGCCGCCGTACGCCTGTGCGCGCGTGCGCGCGTGCACGCGTGCGCGAGAGGGCGGGCTTGCTTCCCTGCGTGACGCGTCCCACGGCTGGCGTCGCGCGAGCGAGTGCGCGAGCGCGAGGCAGTGACCGAGCAGCACGCGGGTGGGCGCAATGCACGCTGCCGACGCACGCACGCACGCCTATGCCCATGCCTTGCCTACGCCTGCGCCTGCACGCTGTCGAGCATCGCGTCATCCGCACCGAGCGCGTCTGCGAGCTCGCGCTTGGTCCACGCGCGCTCAGTGAAGCACGGCATGTGAAACGCAGCGACGCCGTGCTGCGCGTTCTGCCCGAGGCAGTACAGCGCGCTCGAGTCCTGCCCGAGCAAAAGGTCGTAGTCCACGTGGACCAGCACCTCGCCGTCGCCAATCTCGCGCAGGCGTTGCTGCAGCAGGAACGGCTTCCACCTCCACCAGCCCGCGCCTCGAGTCCCTTGTGCGACGCCGTGGCTCTCTTTCCAGCTTGGTGGCAGCGACGCGAGCGAGTAGTTGCGGCAGGAGTCGGCGTCGGGCGCGCTCACCGGCTGCGGGAAGCCGCGTGCGTTGAACTCACATCGCTGCGCTGCCAGGTAGGAGAAGTGACCATGGCTGCCAAAGGTGCTCAGGTGCCACTTGGTCTGCTTGGTGCACACGGCCTCGTAACGACTCTGTCGCTGTCGCGCGGTCTGCCAGTAATGGACTGTAGAGCGGCGCCTCAGGCGTGGCGAGATGAGACCGTCGTGCGCGAGTGAACCCTGATCCGCAGAGAGGTTGGTCAGCGCTCTCTCGCGGCACGTGAAAGTGCGGCAGCGCGGCGCGGTGCAGCCTTCCATGCGCTCCTCGACGAGCTGGCGCGGCCGCATATGGCTTGGCGGTGGCACCAAGCACCGTGGAGTGCGGCCTGCGAACTTGTTGTTGCGCGCGCAGACAAGTTGTACCACTTCGTATCGCGCAGCGCGCGTCTGAACTGAAGCGGATGCGAAGCGTGTCGACGTTGACAGGAAACATGTGATTAAGCCGCGCGTGCTGCTGCACCTCTCCGTACTTGTTTTCGCCATAGTGTATGCACAGGACCACGCGCTCGGGCCCGAGGAGCGGATCGTCAGCGGCCGTCAGCATAGGAGGCGGCGTGCAGAAGCCACACGACTCAGCGCACTCGGCCTTCATGAAGCCGACATTCTTGCCGCACTCACCGGCGTCGGCCCACGAGCCACACGCAGAGTTGGAGTCGCCGCACGGCTCCTGCGCGACGGAGAGGCAAGAGGCTCCAAAGACCGCCAGCAGCGCGAAACCGGCTCGCTCGATGTGTGCCGAAAGGCGAAAGAAGCCGCGACAGAAGAGGCGGCGGCGTCGCAGGACGAGGCAGAAGAGAACGACGCGACAGAGGAGGAAATGACAAGGGAGAGAACGACGAGAGTGGGACGACCGCGAGGTGGCATGAAGGTTGCAGCGAGAAGCGGCGAGAGACTGCGAAGAGAGATAGGAAGAGGCAGACTCCCTACTAGGGTGGGCGACGGCTAGCGCATCACACACCTCTCCTTAAAATCCCTGTGTGGTGGCGGCGTGCCGTCCTCCCATCCCTCCCTTGGGTTGCGTGTTTTCTTTCTTTCTTTCTGTGAGGAAAAAGAAAAGATCCACGAAAATCGAATGATGCCTGACCCAGCCAACCCAGTCAAAAATCCGGGCCGCCCGAATTCTTTCGACAACACGACTCCTCGCTCTGTGCTTCGTAGAGCACACGCACACATGCTCTCCGACATCTCCAACCGGACATCAATCGCTCACCGCAGCCCGCAGACCGACATCGCGTGTCGCATCGACAGCTTGTACAAGGCGCGTTCCATCGGCACAATTACGTGGTTCGCCGCACCACACTCAGCGACGCCACTGCTGCGCCCACACAGGCCGCAGAGGCGTGCGCCGACCCGCCCTACCTCGGCGAGATTACCCAGTGCTACGCGCGTGCAGAGGTTTGGCGTAGCCGTGTGGTTGCCGTTTCGTACCAGCAGAGAGCATGACGCCACTATTCCGCCCGCAGATGAGCCAGAGGCCGCCTGCCGACTACCTCGAGCGGAGGCAGCCACACATTCAGCCAAAGTCGCGCGAATTTCTGGTCGACTACCTTACCGAGACGCACGCTGAGCTACGCCTTCACGCCGAGTCGCTCTTTGTGACAGTGTTTCTGCTGGACAGCTACTTGGACCGCCATGAGCCGGTGGAGGCACGAAAGCTCGAGCTCGTTGGCATCACCGCCATGTTTCTCGCCGCCAAGTACGAGGAGAGCGGCACGCAGCTGCCATGTCTCCTGTTGTTGGACACGGCCAGGCATGTCGCTCGCGGAGTCGGGCTCGCAGGGTGCACGCGCCAAGACGTCTTCAAAATGGAAGCGGATATTTTGTCAACGGTGGGCTTCCGGCTGACGGCTCCCTCGCCCCTCGCGTTTCTCCACCGGCTGGCCCACGCCGCGTGCGTCCAGGGAACACGCACCGAGTTCCTCGCTCAATACCTGCTCGAACTCGCGCTGGCCGAGGCCTCAACGCTCGCCTTTCGCCCGTCAACCCTTTCTGCCGCCGCAATCCATCTCGCTCTGCACGCCACGGGGCAGCCGTGGGAGGCAGAGTACGGCCAGCTGATCGGCGTTGGGCACGAGGCCATGATGACGTGTGGCCGAGCGCTCGTCGCGTTGCACAGAAGGGCCCGCGGAAACCGTGACAAGTTCGTGTGGGTCAAGTGGCTCAAGGAGAAGAGGGGCGCGGTGTCGGGCATCGACATCGTCTCGCCGGGTGGCATCTCGTGAGGTCTTAGCAAAACGGGCTCTCGCAATGAGAGTGAAGCATCGCGGTGTGGGAAGGCCACACCCCCAACCAAAAGCAACCGCCGAAGCAACGAGACGTGTCGAAAACGGAGCGGATATTGCGATCGTGTGGCCCCTTTGTGTGTCGACGGGGTGAGGTGACCGGTGTTGTGATGACCATGGATTGGTTGCATGGATGGATGGTGGGGTGATGGTGCTCGCTCTCTCGGTCAGTGGCAGTCATGTGACACGTGTGCCGACAGTACGTCGGTGCCATGGTCGCGGTGCCCTTCGCCCCCAGGTGTGGTCAGGTGACTGGTGAGCGGCAGGTCGGGGGTGAGTGTGTGAGCAGTAGACTCTGACCCCGCACAGAGTGGCAGAGAGTGAGAGACGGTCGCGAGAGAGAGCACACACATATGGAAAAGATGGATGTGAGAGAGACGAATCGCAATCGGACATTTTTCGGTGTGATTATCAAATAATACATGGACATGCGCATGAGGCGATGCCGTCACGACGGCTGGGCCTACGCTCTCTACTCTCTTGACTCTGCGCGACCCCCAATACGCGCTGAAATGTGCGCCGAGACGCGATTTGAGTCGGCGCCCGGCGCATGGACGTGTGGAGTGGACGTGTGGAGTGGACGCGCAGACTGAGGTGTGTGGGAGGGCGGCGCCCTCCGCTCTTCCCTCCCCCGCGCCTCCGCCGCCCGCTCACAGCTTGCCCAGCACGGCGCCGACGATGGTCTCTGTCGGTGGCCCATCTTTTTGATGCCCATCTCCTTGAGCGCCTCCATGAGCTCCTTCTCGCCGTCGCTGCGGTTGACGATGTCCTCGAGCAGCGCCATCGACGTCATCTCCTCCTCCTCGAAGTTCGAGACGTACTGCTCCAGCTCGAGCTCCTTGTCGGCCCACCGCTCCGACGGACGCACCGCCCCGGCGGCGGGGCTCTTGCCCTGGTGGACGCTCGAGCCTCCGGGCGTGCGGTACGGCGGCGAGGCGGGGTCAAACCCGTTGTCCGCGCTGCTCTCGAGCCGGCGGATGGCGGCCGACACCTCGAAGTAGACGTCGTTCGCCGCCGCCTCTGAGCCGAGGAGAAAGACGGTGCGCTCGCGGAAGGACTTTGCGTCCTGGACGGCGCGGTGCGAAGAGAGGGCGGCGGCGAGGGCGTCGGCGTCGAGCCGCTATCTAGGAATTTTTAGGTAAAATGACAATAAGGAAGCGCTGGACCGATGCGCCAGTCAGCAGTCTTGGGATGACAGGAAGACGCACACACCTCCATCCACCGACCGCAGCGACCGGGGGAGAGCCGCCTCCGCCCTCTCTGCCGCCGACACCGCCCTGCGGACCGAGTACTCTGACGGCCGACGCCGCAGCTGCCGAGACATGCATCCATGTGGATACCTACGCCTGCGGCCTGCAAATCGGCGACACGATCGCCATCGGCACCGACACCGGCCTGACCGTGTCGAGCCTCTCCTGCTCCAGCCGGCGGCGCACCTCGGCTCAGAGGCGACTTCAAGACGAGGGGTTGCCCCTCTCGTTCTCGCCCGCCCTGTCCAGCGCGTACTCGGCCGGGCAGGCGGTGGTGCACACGCCGCAGGGCGGCGCCGACAAGGACCCGCATCTTCACTTTGCTAGCGGCGGCCGCGCAGACTTCCGAGGCCACAACGGCACCTTATACAACTTCTTCTCCGCACCCGATTTGTCGCTGAACATCCTGACGGAGGACGCCACTTTCACGCTGCATGGAGGACGGCTCCTGGTGAACGGATCCTTCATCACAGAGGCATACGTAGTGGCGCGCGTGGGCGACTGCCCCTCCCAATCGCCAGCAAGCAAGTGCGCCGGCGCGCGGAGGAAGCTCTTCCACCTCTCGTTCCTCTCGGGCGAGCTGAATGACCAGAACACAGGTTTCGGCTTCCTCCACGGTCACTGCGGGGGCAACCACTTCACGGGGGGCCTCGGCTTTCGAAAGCAATGCGAGGATCTCACCGCTCGCGCCAACTTCTCGAGCGTCACGGTCGGCGTGCGGGGCTGGACCTTTGTCATCCGCGGCAGTGAGTTCCGCACTGCTGCCGCCCCCGCGTTCAGACGCTGGCCCCGTTCGTACTTTTGCCCACACTCTCAGCTCCTGCCTTGTCTTGTTCGCAACGCAGACTACGTCTACAACCGCGTCGCTGGCCCGACGCACCGGGTCGATGTCGGCATCACGGCAACGGGCGCCGCTGTCGCCGCGTCTCTCCCGCATGGCATCGTCGGGCAGTCCTTCTCTGCAAACGCGCCGCGCAACGGAAAGGTCGACAGCTACCCTCCCTCTGGCCACCTGACAACCTCCGCGCAAGCGGAGGGGGCGATCGAGGGCGCCGCCAGGGATTACCAGCTGCGATCCGCGCACGACACCCGCTTCACCTTTTCCCGGTTCGACGAGGCCATGCAGGACGCGGAGCACGCGCCGGAGACACCTGGTGACGAGCCCGCTTTTGATGCATTGGCGAGTGAGTCCGAGTGAGATAGTGAGCCGCGCACGTCTAGGAATCGAGCCCGAAAATGGCCGTCCATGAACACAACGCCTCTGTCATCTCGCTCTCTGCTCCGATAGACCGATACTCCGAAACGCCGTCTCGGCCGGAGCGAGTTGCGACCAACCAAGTTGTGTGCATACGGCTTTATATGTGCCTTTGCCTGACACCTTCAGCGCGGCGGAGTCGGAGTTACGGAGACGCACGGTATGTGAATGTGTCTCTCGTGTCTCGCGTGGTGTGTGGGTGCGCATTTTCTGCATATCTGCATTGACCTTTGACGAGAGCTATGCTGCATTATTCCCCACGTGTGCGTGAGGGTGAGAGTTGGTTTACCGTCCCTTAATTGTTCAAATTTTATACACAAACACGCAAAATCAAGTCCAGCCTTGGCTCGAGAAGAGCTCCTGCCCTCTCACGAAGACCCAGTTCCAGAGGCCCCCAGAGACGGCCTGCATGGCGAGCCGCGGGCCATACCCGCTGTAGAGGCGCGGCCAGCCGCCGCGGAGGAGGAGGCGGCGCGCCAGCGCCGGGAAGGAGCCGCCATCGGCCTGCAGGCAGGAGGGCCATGGAGGAGCGGTGTCGGGCCGAGGTCGGGGGCGGGAGAGGTCGGACAAGGCCGACGGGAGGGCGAGGGGGCAAGGGCAAGGGGCGAGCGAGCTGGCGTGCGAGGGTGTTCCGTCGCTGGTCTCTCCCCCCCCTCTCGGCCCGGCCTCGCCTGCAGGTTCTTCTTGAGGGTGTCGAGTGGGAAAGTGCACGCGTCGGTGAGCGCCGTCGACGCCATCCCGACAAGCCAGTCGCGTGCCCACGGGGACCGCTGCAGCGACTCCGGAGCCGAGCGCTCGAGTCCGTTGCGCGTCGAGAGCCAGATGGCCATCCCGCCCGCCTGGAGAGATGTCGCGGGCGTCGGGCAGTCGCTTGAGCCAGCTCTCGCCGACGGTGAAGCCAGCGATCTCCCCGTATCTCCCCGTAATCTCCCCGCATCTCCCCAGATCGTCCCGACTCGAGCCAGCTCTCGCCGACGGTGAATCGGGGGCAGAGGGAACGGTTTAGAGGGGGCAGGTTCTGCGAGGGGTCGCGCAGAGAGCCACGGGAGACGCCGCGCGCCGAGCGGAGCAGGGCAGGGCCGAGGCCGCTGTATAGCGGCGCCAGCTGCGGCCGCGGCCACAGCAGCGCCCACTGCGCGCCTCCCACCTGCGATTGGCGGGGGAGGGCGGCGGTGGGGTGGGTGGGGCGACGGTCCCGGAGGGCGGAGGCGCCGCCTGCCCGCGGCAGGTGAGCGTGTCGAGCGGGTGCAGCGTCGTGGTCTTGAGGACTCCGGCCGCGAAGCCGGCGGCGGCGTCGCGCGCGAGCTCCTGGCGAGCGGCGTGGCGGCGGTGGCGTCGGCGAGGGTGTGTGCACGCGATGCATATACGGACGCGGCGCGAGCGGTGCGAAAACGCGGCTGGGAGGGCGGCGCACACCGGCAAGTCGGGGGGAAGAAGCTGCTTCAGACCCGTGCTCACGCCCATGAGCGCGCCGCGATTCACCCCGACCTCTGCCAGTGCCGGCGCAAGGCCGCGGTAGAGCGCAGGGACCGCCGAGCGATGCGGCAGCAGCTGCTGGACGGTGGCGGAGAGACTCGCGCCGGAGCGCTGCATGTTGGTCTTGATGGTGTCGACGGGGAAGAGTGTCGCGCGCACGGTGCAGCCGGCGGCGGCGCCGGCGAGGAAGTCCACACGCGGGTCGGCCGACTGCCGCCTTGACGGCGAGGGCGACGACATCACGTCACGATGGGCGTTCCTCCTGTCGTGTGTTGCCGCGCCGTGAATTTTTCGGCACTCCCCGCTGTCTCGAGGTTCTCGAGGTGGATATCCTTTGGCCGCGTTGGGTACCCGCTGTCTGACTGTAGTCGGCCCCGTGAACCTTCACCCGGGGTTGTGCGTTTACGTGAACCTTCACGGGACCTCCTTGGCAAAGCCGCCCTGCAGCTCGTTGGCAGTCCTCGTTTTCGACTTTGGCCGCCCCGCGTCGGCCAGGTGCGTGGTCCCCGACCCTAAACTCTTCGCCGGCCCCGCCAGCTCGACCGACTCGACCGCCAACCGGCTGGGTTTGACCGGCGGCGCGACGCGTGGCCTGTGCTGCGGCCATCTCGGACGTTCAAGCGGCGCCAGCCAGCGGCTCGGCCGCGCATCCTTCACACACGCCGCCACGACCGGGATGAGAGGGCCCAGTGTCGAGTCATGGTGCGAGCTGCATGTGCGGGGCGGCTGTGGCCGCAGCAGGTCCACCAGACGGGCGTCAAAGCTTGCCGTCGGCGTGCTGTCGTGGGGGTGCACGACACGCACTGAAAGGAGCCGAGAGGAGCAGCAGCTGTGGGGCTTCCACGGCTCCCAAAGGGCGGTCCATGACTGCTCTGAGCAGGGCTGTGCTTTGGTGGGGCTGTGTTTGAGCATGTGTGAAGTGCGAGTGCCGGCGGCGTCTGTGATCTGTAATGGGCGTGTGAGGGCCCGTGTGTGGGTAGTTGTGAGCCCGTGTGAGCTTGCAGACCCGAGATAAGTGCGGGTCGGGACGGCTCAGACTTGTTACTGATAGGACTGAGCCAGGAGAGCGGCAGGGAAGGCGAGGTGGTGAGCTGAGAGGCTGGAGAGTCCGCGTGTGACCTTGTCGCGATGCGAGTGCCAAAAAGCGTTGTTTGCGGCTATTGCTCAAAACTTCGGGAGATAAGGCCTACATATTATGACTGCATGCATCCGTTCGGTGCATGAGGGCTGCGGGACGAGACATATCACGGTCGATGGCGCCGATGATGACCTCCGGAATGCCCTCGCAATCGCCTCGGATGGGGTCCACCGGAGACAATCTGGAGCCCTCTCGGTGGCATCACCAGCCGGTGTGAGCTTGCAGACCCAAGATAAGTGCGGGTCGGGACGGCTCAGACTTGTTACTGATAGGACTGAGCCAGGAGAGCGGCAGGGAAGGCGAGGTGGTGAGCTGAGAGGCTGGAGAGTCCGCGTGTGACCTTGTCGCGATGCAAGTGCCACGAAGCGCTGTTTCCTTTGGCGAGTGCGGCCGGCTGCATAACCTGGCCGCCGCGCTGCTGCAGCCGCTGCTCAAGCCGCAACGCGGCCGCGCCCTCCGCGCGGTCCACGCCCCCCCCCCCTCCCCTCCCTTCCCCTTTCGCTGATCACTGCATCGGCCCGTTTGGATGAGTCAGGTGTGCGCCGCCTTCGTCCCCTCCCTCCCCCTCTCCCGCGCGGCGCACCTGCTCGGCTTCGGGGGCGACATCGCCGTCTGCACGCAGTGGCTGCGCGAGCAGGGGGCGGTCCTCGAGCTGCACCACTCGAAGGGCGTCGTCCGCGGAGGGCTCCTCCTCACACGCGAGACCGGCAGAGCGATGCGCGGTCCGGGCTGACGCGCACTCGCCGCTCACTCTCTCGCAGCAAAACAGTCGAGAGTCGTCACGGACCCCCAGCGCGACGTCGATTCTGAGACGCGGCAGCCGCGCGGACCGCGGTGCCTAGGTCTCTTAAAGTTAGTTATATGCATACACAACGTGTACGTGATAGCGGCGAGGCGCGGGACCGTCTGTGTGGCGAAGTGGGTCTCGCGTCCCTCGATTTCCTCAACTCAGCTTCCACGCGACGGCTACGGACCCGGCTAGTCCCACGACTCACGACACACCCGACACACCCTACGCCCTCTAAAACGCTGAGAGTACTCGGGGCCACGCCCCCCTGCCTGTCGCCCCCCCCTCGGCCAGCCCTCGGCACGCTCGACAGGAGAACCCGGACGACCTTTGATCTCTACGAAAACATGCACTGGCCCAGTCAGCGCCATCTCGAGAAAGAGACCGCTTTGGCGAGCCACAACACAGCCGAGAGATAAAATCTCCGCAAGAGAGCCACGGTCACATCCAGGGCCGGGGAGCTGTATGAAGCGCACCCAGCGGCATCAGTAGAAATGCATTTACTGGCGTGGTGAACGTTCCTGTGGCTTCCGAGGGCACTGCGACGATATACATGGCTCCACTTCAAAGTAACAGAGCTCGGAGCGCCAACGCTCCTGAGGGAGGGTGTAGAGGATGTAGAGTGTAGAGCGCTGTAGAGCTGTAGAGCTGTAGAGCGCTCTGGAGCGCTGTAGAGCTGTAGAGCTCTATAGAGCTCTACATCCGCCGCGTGACGAACTGCGTGCGTTGTATGTAGAGCGATGTAGTGGCGCTCTACAACGAGAGAGAGCACTTGGAGCACTTGGAGTGCAGTCGGTAACCTCACATCCAGGGCCGGGGAGCTAAGAAGCGCGCCCAGCGGGCCGGATGATCGGGATCGGGTTGCGGGCAAGAGAGCCCTAAGCCGAAGCAATCGTCCGAGCACTCATCGCCAAGAGGGGGGACTTGTGTCACCTTGTCGCCTACGGCAAGAGCGAAGCGGCGGTAATGCGGCAAGGGACGCACTATCTAACGGGTTGAGACAACAAGCTCACGCACCGGGAGCCGCGCTGCGGGCGAAGCAGGAAGCCTTGCCGACGTCGCACTTTTTGACATCTTCGTTGCCACCGGGCGCGTAACTCCCGGGAAGCGGCGCCTGCAGGGGGTCACGGTCGCGGTGGAAAGGATGCGATGTCGTCATGAGTGCTAGTGCGGAGCTGTGGCGCACCTGGCACATCTCGTCCGTCTCGATCGGCGAAAGGAAAGTACCGGCGGCACAATGATGGCACAGCGGGTTGAGCGGGTCGGTCGTGTGCACGACCACGCACGCGTCCTCCTCGCCACACTGGAAGAACGGGCAGTCGCGGCGGGGAGGCGGAGTGGGCGGCGGCGGCGGCGGCGGCGGCGGCGGCTTGAGGCAGCACGCGCCAGGCCGGTCCGCGACGTCCCAGCCATAACTCTTGGAAGGACCTTTCGGATCGAAGCCAGCCGGGCAATGCCAGTTAGTGAAGCCCGTGTAAGGGGGGCAGGTGGTGCAGTAAGGTGGCGTGCATGCATCACCAATGCACCCGGGCGGGTCTCGCATGGCGGCCAGGGTGGGGTCGGTGCAGCACCTACCAGGTGTGGAGCTCCATGGACTGAGGCGAAGTCAATCGAATATGGGAGTGGGGCTGTGGAGGGGCTCTCACCTTGGGTCCTGGCTGCCTGGGTATTTCGTGCAGTCAACTGGGCCCGGATCTTTCAGGCAGCACTGACCGCGTTTCGGCTTGCAGAGGTCTCGCTTGGCCCGGCCGGGAACCAGATCCTACAGCGACATGCGACGGTATTTAGTCTAGCTGGGATGGAGAACCAGCGTACAACATGGAGTTGATTTACCGGGCGTTGTTGTCTGGGCAGTTCCAAGTGGTGAACGCGGAGCACCTGAACCAACCGCAACCGTCCCCGTTGCACCTTGAGCACGTAAGATCTCCGCGCCAGAAAGCGAGGCGCTCGTCGGTGCAGCAGCGCGCGTCGTACTTGCACGTGGAGAAGCAGCAGTCCTCGATGGCGTCGCCGTTGACTTTCGTCATGCCAACGGCGATGGCCATGATGAGCAGGTTGCGCACCATGCCTGTGCCGACCGGCAGACGAGGGAGTGAGCCGCAAGGCGACGCAGGCTGATGCGCTATCGGTGCGCAGAAAGAGAGTGAGGTGTGTGTCGTTGTGAACGAGCGAGTTCACGAGGACGAGCTGCAAGAGCTCTGGCGCTGCGCTTCCCGAGCGACGCGGCAGGCTGGTGCGCAGCCAGGGTAAACGAGTGCTGCTGCGCGGTGCGCGGTCCCGGCCAGCGGGGTGGATGGCGCTGGCGGCAGCAGGCTGACCTTCTCGAGCAGCTACACCTTCCAAGCTGCACCCCCTTCCAAGCTGCACCCCCTTCCAAAGCTGTCCCCCCCACAATCTGTACCCCCAACGTGTGTGTGTGTGTGTGTGTGTGTGTGTCACTCACTCACTACCCCCAGCTTCGCGAAGGCGACGCACCATTTTTTGAGTCCTTGTGAGTACTGTGAGTGAGTGAGTGACACACTCACTCACTCACTCACTCACTCACTCATGAGTACTGTATAGGTAGGGTCGATTCCGCATGGTACGGGACCCCTCGGGTGTTCATTGGAGGGGGAGTCATCCCAAGACGGTGAGAGAGAGAGAGAGATTTCTTGAACACGGTGCATACAGGATCGATCGAGGCGGAGCACGCAGGAGCCATCATCGGCGGCGGTTAGCGGCAGCGCGGCGGTGTAGACGAGCTGCGAGATATATTGAGATTGTGACGAGGAGTGGAGCGAGTGAGGCTGAGGGACGCCCCCTGGGGGGATTCTTCACCTGCTCCGGCACGGACATGGACGGGAGACCGCCCGATGTCTGGAAGGAGACAAGAAGTGTCACCCCCCACAAAAATGCGGCAGCATCGGGTCGGCTTGCGTGTTCGCGTCCCAGCCGCGGCACTGACGGTCGCGCTCCTGCTCTCGCACGCACACGAGCCCCTTGCGCGCCTCGCCCCCGAGCATGCGGCCAACCACTCGGCAGTGCACCGCCCACGAGGGATGATCTCGCCCGCGCGCGAGCAGGTCGGAGTCCTCCGAGCGGTCCCGAGCGGTCCCGAGCCGTCCCGAGCCGTCCCGAGCCGTCCCGAGCGGTCCCGAGCCGTGTCCCAACGGCCTAGATGCTAAAGTTCGACGGGCGGGAGCCCGGGACCACTCACTCACTACATCATCGGTGCTCTTCACAGCCTTGTTATTGAGAAGAAAATACCTCCTATGGCGCTGTGCGCTGGCCTGTGAGAGGTTGAGGTGCGAGCCCTGGAGGCCCTGGGGATGGGGGGGGACTACCCGCGGGCTTAGAAGGCCCGCGCGCAGGGGGGTGGGGGCATTCACACGAGTTAGTGACGCCTCCTGTCGAGGTCGCCCCGGCGAGTGCTCCTGCTACTGCTCGCTCGGTTCGCACGGCCACCCGATCCCGCCCGGCGAAGTTACGGAGAGGCACCTCTTCGACTCCGGGGAGGACATCAAGATCCCAATCCCGTGCCCGCTGCGGTTTCCGTTGGGCACGCTTGTCGAGGTCCATGCCGGGAAGGCAGGCTGGCTGACGGCCAGGGTCACGCGGCAGTTTTATCGGCCGCACTCGGCAGATTGGCCCGCTGGCCAGCACTCCGCGTACGAGCTCAGGCTTGACCGCGGAGGCTACATGCATTCGCCCTGTGACGTCGGACCGAACGAGGGCATCCCAGCTGTGCCGCCGTCGCTGCAGGCGTACATCGAGCGCTTCGTGCCACGGCCATCCCACGATCCCGACAGCACGCAGGCTGTGTATGACATCATTGAGTACGCCAACCAGCGGGGCGTGACGGATTCCGTTCGCTGGACGATGGCGCCTCCACCGCTGCAGGACGGCCTGGGATGGCTCGCCCGCCGCTACGCGGACGTCGACTCGCTCGTCGACTTCATCGAGCGAAGCCACGTGTGCGCATCGTGCGGCAAAGCGTTGCCTCGCGACGCCTTCTCGGGTGCGCAACTCAAAAGGAGCGCAGCCCTGCGACGCTGCAGGCAGTGCGCGGAGGGCAGCAGATCAGCGGAATCATCCCGCATCGCGTCTGCCGAGGGGCAGTTTCTTCTGCAGCAGCAGCAGCAGCAGCAGCAGGAGCAGGAGCGGGAGCGGCGGAGGCTGGAATGGGCAGCAGCACGGAAGCGGGAGCGGGAGGAGCAGCTGCTGCTGCAGCAGCAGCAGGAGGAGGAGCGGCGGGATGAGGAGGAGCGGCGGGAGCGGCTGGCGCAGGAGCGGCAGGAGCGGCAGCAGCAGGGGCGGAAGCCGCCGCAGGCGCCCCCGCCGGTGGAGCTCGCGCAGGAGATATACGACGCGGCGTCGGGCGACCCGGCCTTGCCCGCCACGCGGCGGCAGCTGAAGAAGCTGCTCGCGCGGCTTGACAAGGAGAAGTCACTAGTCCGCAAGCGCGAGATCCGCTCGTGGCAGTCGCCGGCGGACGGTTCGACGCCGCTGTTCGCGGCGTGCCAGCGGGGAAACCTGGCGGCGGCGGAGCTGCTGCTCAGGGCGCACTTTTCGGTCAACAAGGCCCTGCAGGGGGGCGGCACGCCGCTGTACGTGAGCTGCGAGGCGGGTAACGTCGAGCTGGCACGGTGGTAGCGGTGGCGTGGGTGGCGGCGATGGTGGTGGCGGCAACGGCGGAGGGGGCGACGGCGGAGGGGGCGATGGTGGTGACGCAAGAGAGCTGCTGGACGGCGGCGCGAACCCGGCGATCGCCGTCGGCGGCCTCTCGCCGCTGGCGCGCGCGCGGCAGCTGCACGGCGAGGGCGCCGAGATAGTCCAGCTCCTCGAGCAGGTGTCAGGGGCAGAGCAGGAGCAGCCGCCGCCGCCGCCGCCGCCGCAGCTTGGAGAGGCCAGTCAGGGTGTGCAGCCGCCGAGGCTCCTCCTCGACCTCGCCAGCCGCGGTGCCAACACCATCGACAGCGCAGCCGCAGCCGCCCGGAGGGCGGTCGCGTCGATGTTCGGGACGATTGCCGAGGGAGGCGAGGTCGAGGAGGGCGAGGAGGAGGGCGAGGAGGAGGGCGAGGAGGGCGAGGAGGGCGAGGAGGAGGGCGAGGAGGACGAGGGCGCAAGCGAGGAGACGCGGCGCATGCTGCAGCAGCTCGAGAGCGGCTACTCCACCGCGGCGGAGGTGCGCGATGCACTGCTCGCGCTCTCGGACCTCGAGGGATACGACGAGCAGCTGGAGCGGGGCCACGCGCGCTTGGAGGCGCTCCGGGCGAGGCTTTCGCCGCTCCACGCGCTCGCGTCCCGCCTGCCCGACGACCTCTGCTCGCCGCCGCGGCGGAGCTACACGGCCCATCACGTGCTCATCGTCGACGCCTCCGCTTCAATGCGTAACACCGACGTCGAGGCCGCCCCCTCCCCCCCCGCCCGCCTACCCCCTCACCCCCCTCGCCCCCGCCCTCATCCTAAATGCCAGCCCTCACTCCTT